GGCCAAAACCCCAAAACCCCAAAACCCCGAATGGAGAATTTTATAAAATTATTGAATTAAATAAGATATAAATCCTGAAAATATATTATTAGAAATTGTATATAAAGAGAGAAAATCTTTAATAGTTAATCTAAGAGTTATATTTTTAAAAAATGAAAAGTACCGTAACAACTATAATATTGAGTCTAATAGCTACAACAGCAACTATTGAGGCTTAAGGCTGCTGGAAGCATGCTCATGGAAGAGGTGCTGGAAAAGTAATAACTGACTGTCACAATGATGAAGACAAAAATGGAGCTCTATGTTATCCAAAATGTAGAGATGGATATCACGGTGTCGGGCCTGTATGCTGGGGTTAGTGCACTAATGGATATAAAGATACTGGAGTTGATTGCCTTAAACCGAAGTCATACGGAAGAGGAGCTGGATATCCCATTTGGGACCACAAAAAATGCAATCATCATCACTCATAGGGTTGTGAAAAATCAGGAGCTCTCTGGTATCCTAAATGCAATAATGGTTTCCATAATGTTGCTTGTTGTGTCTGTTCTCCAGATTGCCCTAGTGGATTTAGGGACATTGGAGTCTCCTGTCAGAAACCCACCTATGGAAGATCTGCAGGAAAACCACTACACTGCTCTCCTGGTCTAGAAATGTCAGGTACACTTTGCTACCCCCCTTGCAAGGCAGGCTATCATGGAAACGGTCCTCTTTGCTGGTAGGAATGCCCTGCTGGCTGGCACAATTGTGGTGCTATGTGTACACCTACATCTGATGCTTGCACTTCAGCAGTATTAAATATTGCTTAGAATGTTGTTGAGACTGGAGCAGAAATAGCGATCGGTGCTTTTACAGGTGAAGCTGATCTTCCAGCAATCATCAATGGAGCAGGAAGCACAGCCTAATCTTTGACCTAGGCTAGATGTCCTTAACCTTAAAACCTATACATTTAAGTTTAGACTCCAGCCTACCCTGAGTTTTTAAATGTCCAATCTCCCTTCTTTGGTTACATAGAAGGCTTATATCCTTTGAGATCAATAGCCTCTGCAGCTAATATTTACAGTTAGCTGAGTAGTGCTTAAAATCAAAAAATGAATTATGGGATAATATATGGCGGATACAATACATTTACTCCATATGTTAGTCAAGAACTTTACCCAGTTTACAACCCAACTTTTGAGTATAGAAATGTAGACGGTTACTACTATGACTAATGAGATTAAATAAAAATATGATGGCAAAAATATAGTTCAAAGAATAAAAGAATTCTAAAATGCTAGAAATATAATTTTTATGCTTTTGTATTTATAATATATAGTTACAAAAATTGTACTATTATTGTTTTATGGGGTTTTGGGGTTTTGGGGTTTTGGGG